ACGGATGTATGATATCGATAAAATATTTACCTATCTAACTTATTAAGAAATACTTGTAAACACAAAATATTTAAATATAATGGTAGATAAAACTCTGTCTGTATGATGTTAACAATAATTTTGATGCAGGATTGAGACTATTGTCAAATTATCCAAAGTTTAATTATATTTACCGGTAAATAATATATTGATATAATCATCATATAAAATAATAGACTTTTTAATCCCATAAATCAAATCCATTTTGAGATTTTTTCATTGATTAAAGCCTTTGCTGTGATATTGTCCCCATTAATACATAATGAGCTGACAAGTACCTTATGATATTAACTCCTAATAAAGTGATATTATGATTAATAAGATTTTTTCTCATCAGTCTAAAGGACACAATGTCTTGGCACAGCATCTGTTGTCAGTCTGTAGACCTTTTAAAATTTACATTAAACAGTTACAGTAAAGCGCGAAGCAAAGCTATGTTTATATAAATGTGGGTCATATTTCGTGCTTCATAAATAGTGTTGTACATCATACTTTGATACATACCCAGTAGATATAAAGGTGTCTTTGTTTTTTATAAGAGTTCAAAACAGATCACCATGAACCCAAGCATGGGACTATATGTTCTCTGAAGTATAGAATAATTTTGTTTTACATACTAGATTTTAAAAATTAATAATGATTGAATCTGGAATACTGGGTTGAAAACATATTCTGGTCAAGTCATTGATAAAAGCTACTTCATATTGGCTTATTGAATATGGATCTGGTATACATATTTAATAAGGTGAGTAAGACCCTTGGTCCTTTATTAAGATTAAATTGTACCAGGTAGTTAGACATTAGTTTAGAATGCTTAAAATATGAACTGTAATTTTTGCATTGTGATTATCTTAGCAAGGCACTGACCACTTTACTTATTTTGAAGAATTTTGACTAACTTGTAATTGTTACAATGTATACATGATAAAGAACAGGGGTGTAACATTTTAATATCATAGTCCTTAATTTTACTTTGGAAACATACTGATACTTTTAAATATATAGATTTTGTATTAACCAATCAAAATTATAGCAGATTATTTTGTACTTCTGTAGGTGAAACGACGGCAGATTAAATTTGTTCCCTTGTTCTTGGTACATACACAGAAGAACTTAAGTAGCTACCTGATAGCTCAAATAGTTGAGATAACATTTTATTGTGAAGGAAAATGACAAAATAGTGGGAGATGCTGAGAAGTTCAATAAAAAATATGAAAAATTTGAAATGATTAGTGTGTGACTAAAAATTACACTTTCAATCCCAACACAATTCTGAGGCAATGATATTTTTGTTTGTACTTAAACTGAAAAGTAAAAAAAAAATTTAATTCAGGGGAAACTATATAGCACAACCTGGATTTTTTTTTTTTTTTTTTGCACTTTTGAAAAAAATATTTCTTGTTTTGAAACAAGCGATTATTTAAGTGGAATATTGAAATATTGTACATCTTATTTATATCTTTATAAAAGTAAATGATGAAAAAAGAAAAGAGCAGTCTTGAATTAGATTGAAATTAAGTAGAGGAAGAAGACGTGAAGGGAACTTCAAGTGAGTGCTTGGAAAATTTTCACTCTTGGAGAATAAGCAGTATTGTGAAATCTAAAGAACTACATAGCATGTGTCTTATGAACAGGATAGTGCCCTTATGTCCATCTCTTATGTGGTGTATATGCTCAATGCAACCAACCTTTTGTGCCTATAGACTATGATAGATAGGTCTGCCGCCATTACACCTTCAGACAATAGCTCAACACGCACAATCACTGGACTGTTGATCTTTTAGCGCCTCTGTTACCTCATATGGTGTAGATATTAGCATTTATACTCACCTTAATGTTTGTCCGGTTTAGGCCTAATTCCTTACCATTATATAGATATTCATTGTTGAGATGCCATTCAATGTCTGTAGAAAAAATTCATAATGTAAACATGCTATTATATTGTGATTTAAATACATCTTTCTGTATCCATAATATTTATTTGTATTTAACTGTCAGACCTTTTTCATTAGTTGTAGAAAAATGATAAAAATGATAATACTTTTGAATATCCTGGCTTTATTTTAACCAAATAAAAATTTACATATACTTACACACCAAGGCAGAACTGAACACAAATAACATACAAAATACTTAGTACTTGTTTTTGTTGTAGCAAGTTTCTTTTCTGTTAGCTCACTTTAAATTGCTTTTTCAGTAATGTTGTGAATTTATGGAAATTTACTATATATAATATCACAATATTCAAATTCATAAAAAGAAATTGCTGCATTGAAATATATTAACAAATTGTGTTATGATTGTAAAGTTTATTGTTATGTCAGTGATATTGAAGTGAACCCCTTCACATTATGAAGTGTTTCCTCGGCGGAATGATATTGTGTTAACCCATTTTACTGATTCAACAAACTGTGGAAAGTGTTATTGTATACTGATGATGTTGACCCCAAATTGCATTGTTTTTTTAATTGAAGATATACATGATGTTGATTTAAAGGCCTAAGGTGCAAATGTCATAAAATGACGAACATTTTGCCACATTTTTGTACTCGCCAAACACGCTAGAACAAGGATATGAAAATGCCATGTTTTGATAGATTTATTAACAATTTACATTTAATTTCTAATTTTTCATTTCCAAAACAAAAAAATCCTAATTCAAACAACTGAAGATGATCATGGGAAATCTGACCGAGAGAGAAGGGGTGGGGAAGGGAAATCATCAAGTGCCTCCTGTCCAGACATCCACTTCTGGAATAAATATGGTCATTCAAACAGATGCACCTGGTAATTTTTTTTTCTGTCAAATTACTACCACTGATTTCTTCATTTCTGAATTTGATAAATTGTTGCCTCTTTCTACCGAAACCTGTCCCCATTAAAGATTCAGCACATGAAAGGAACATCAAGATTATGGAGTTTTGGGTTTCAATACACAATATTGCCTTTAAAGAAAAATAGACAGATATTATTTGTCATGTATTGACATTAGTACCCTGTTGAGATGAAGGAGACAGTACTTAGAGTATCAGCAAGGCCAACACTAAGACTATAGTGCAAGTCATCCTTGCGCTTTGTTATGTCAGTTTGTGAGAAATACTTCATTAAATCAATTTTGGCTGTAATGTATACCAATCAAGAATGTTGGGCAAGGTCTGTAATCCTGTTTTACTGTATTGGTAAGCTGGATTAATGAGATTTGTGTGGTTTGTTTTGTAATGTTAAAGGTGATTTGTGCTATAGAAACATTACTGCCTTATAAGAAATTTGATATTATGTTCCTTTCTTGATACCAATCTTCATCAATCAAGACGGTAAACCCAGTGCTGATTAGATCGTATAATATTCAAAAAAAAATTTATTACCTTTCTTCAGATTTTCCTTACAGAGTTTGGCTTTCTGATAAAAAGATACTTTTTCACCTTGTGCAAAACTTTTTGTGGAAAACAACCTCATTTGCTTCATGTTTTACTGTAAATTTTTGTTGCAATGTTAAATTCGCCTACTTCTTCATGGCATAAATTCAACATTGGCAAAAGTTTCATTATATACAGTAATTTATGGTTTAATACATCAGTCAATGAGTGCTAGTCAACAAGACGGTAATTCTTACCTTTTATTCTCAGATGGCACATTAAGTTTTAAAGGAGAAGAAAGCAGTCAAATCTATATGTAATGGTTATAAGTAAAGCACAGACAAAAAGATCAAAAATATGTTTTTGCTTTCCACAAAAGTCTTTCCCTGTTCTTGTCCCTTGGATATTTACCTGTTATGTATATCTGTTGAGAATTTGAGCTGTGACATATTTTCCCATGATCTTTTATCCTATGAAGACTTTAATAAAGTTATTAATTAATATACTGGTTGATATTTTATTTCAATGTTTACATTTGTGCAAAGAATACTCTGTATACCCGGTATATGGACAACAGTTCATACGTTCCTCAAAAGAATTTTCCAGACTGTTCAAATTGCCCTTTGTCATTTTTTTTATCATTTTGTGGATAGCGTTTAAATGAATCTTTCTCAAATTTCATATGTAGATTCAATATGGTCGTAAGATGTGCCAGTTGAATGTTGAGAAAGCTGTGACAAACAAAGTGGCAGACAGCGTAAAGAGAAAGAAAGAAATTTTATTGCATTCAATTTTCTATCTCAAGTAACTGCCATATAAATGAATAACACCAAAATTAAAATTTCAGAAATATTTCATTTTCAATACTTTTGAACACATGATAACAAAGATAACAAATACAATCAACAACATAACAATGTACAGTTTTTAACCTTACCAGTAGTGAGCAAGAGGCCTAATGGGCCTGCAGCACACATCTGATATATCTGTATCTATATATCAGCAAAATATCATGCCTCTAGGCATTTTAGTTCATGAGAAGTCATTTAAATGATTAAAATAATTTTACCCCTATGACCTTGAATTCAGGTCAAGGTCATTTGTTATCCCCAACTTTTTCGGGCTTCATCCTAGAATATATATGCCAAATATCATGCCTCTAGGCCTTTTAGTTTATCTGAAGAAGACGTTTTAATTTTTTTTTTTTTTTATTTGACCTCTGTGACTTTGAATATAGGTCAAGCTCATTTCTTTTTTTTTTTGCAAACTTTGTCAGGCTTTATCATAGGAACATGCCAGCCAAATATGCCTCTAGGCCTTCTGATATTGTTTGTGAAGTTAAGATGCTTTCTTTTCCAATGTTTTCTTTTTAGTCAATTTATTGGTCTTTGTAGCAACAGTCTTGTCAAGACACAGCTGTTTGTTTACAGGTTAAAATTGGAATATTAAAATATTAAAATCTTTTACTGAAATGTACATTTATAAAAGCCGCTTTCTTCATGGATTGGACTGAAAATGGGATGTCCATTGCAAAAAAATTTTATCCAGGTTTCTGCAAATAAGATATTGTTTGTTTTCTTTGATTTAATGTTTTCTTTACAGAAATTATTGGGTAGCAACAGTCTTGTCAAGACACAGCTGTTTGTTTACAGGTTCCTGGTTTTCTTCATCCTCTTCCTCCTCTGATTCTGATTGCTGTAAAAAAAGTTATACTGAAAAGATATTGTTTTCTTTGATTTAAACTACAGAAATTATTGGGTAACTTTATTCATTTCATCATCACTGCTTTTCCAGCAAATCATTTCCAAAGTTGAAAACATGTTTACTCTCATTCAACTTGACTATTCACAATATGGTTTATATCACATACCTACCAATCACAATATGGTTTATATCACATCACTTCCAATCACAATATGGTTTATATCACATCACTACCAATCACAATATGGTTTATCACTACCAATCTGTTTCAGTAACAGCATGTTCAAAGAGAAAAGTAAACAAAAATGTAACTGATTCACTACACAAATCCATATTGTTAAATAGTAATTGCCGATGCTAAATTTTCATATTGCTTGAAAGAAATTATTTGAAAAAAAAAGAAATTTTATTCTGTGTCTACCAAATGTTTGAATATATTGATATACATGCCTTGCTGCCATCATCACTGATGACTGTGTTATCTTCTTCAACGTTTCCATCACTATCATTGTCCTCATTGTCAGATGGCTCTGCCATAACTTCCTGTAAGGCTGCTGTGTTGATGCGGAAATCTCGAGAAGTACTGATCTTTATGTGCTCCATCAAATTTATCTGTTAAGATAACCAATCAAATATTAATTGAGTAGGTATTGATTTCAAATTATTTAAAAAGTTTTAATTTTCCAAAAATATGTAAAATACCACATGAAAGTTTTCACTAGCCTTTCATATCATGGATAGCTTGTCATCAATACCTGGACCAAATGGAGGAGATATGTTCTTGAGAACTTGTAAAATAAATGATCTATTATCATATAAACCATATTTTGTTTATCTCAAAATATTTTAATCAACCAGGTTTTGAAATATTCTATTCAATTAAAACCTTAATAATCTTACTTAATACTCAAAATCTTGATCTATGTATTGTACACGATTTATTTATTATCAAAAAACTGAATCCAAAAACTTAACTACCCAGATATTTGACATTATAGGTAGCTTTTCCTTTCAAACTAAAAATAATTTACCTTAGACTTTTTAGAAAGTTGAATAAGATATTTCTCAAAACTTTCTATAGCAAATATTAAGTTTGGTATCGTCTTCGATTGCTTCATCACTTTAGCCTGTAATAAATAAACAAAAACATAAATTTAAATACACTGTAAATGTAAATTAGAAAATGAAGAAATAAATGTCGTCGACTTGAATGAAAATTTTTGAAACTATAAAACTACAGCAATGTACAAACCTTCCCTGCCTGAACTGCTGCTGAAGCCTTTTTCTTGTCCTTTTTGCCATGTTTTTCAACAGCATGCTGTATATGTTCACTCTCCGATGTCTATAATATAAGTACAATCTTAATTGTCAATCTATGATGTCTATGAAATACCAACTGTTACTTTCTCACACCTCAGACAGGGATATCCTATGTAAAACCCCATGCTAGATTTTTCTATCTCGCCCAGTCTGTCTAGTACCCTTACGTGTGTTTTCGTGCAATTTTTACGAATAGATGTATTCATCAGCATGTAGGCGTAAATTTCTCGGGCTAGGATCCTGTAACATCCTAACCTCAGCTAACACCTCGGTTGGGATAATGTCACAGGATCTTAGCCCTCGACTGAGATACCACGATCTCACTCAGTCTAAGATCCTGTAACATCCTAACATCAGCTAAAACCTGGGTTGGGATTATGTTACAGGATCTCAGCCCTCGACTGAGATATCCCAATCTCACTCAGTCTAAGATCCTGTAACATCCTAACCTCAGCTAAAACCTCGGTTGGGATTATGTTACAGGATCTTAGCCCTCGACTGAGATACCACGATCTCGCCTGGGATAAGATCCTGTAACATCCTAACCTCAGCTAAAGCCTTGTTTGGGATTGTGTTACAGGATCTTAGCCCTCGACTGAGATACCACGATCTCGCCTGGGCTAAGATCCTGTATCATCCTAACCTCAGCTAACACCTCGGTTGGGATTGTGTTACAGGATCTTAGCCCTCGTCTAAGATACCCCAATCTCACTCAGTCTAAGATCCTGTAACATCCTAACCTCAGCTAACACCTCGGTTGGGATTGTGTTACAGGATCTTAGCCCTCGACTGAGATATCCCAATCTCACTCAGTCTAAGATCCTGTAACATCCTAACCTCAGCTAACACCTCTGTTAGGATTGTGTTACAGGATCTTAGCCCTCGTCTAAGATACCCCAATCTCACTCAGTCTAAGATCCTGTAACATCCTAACCTCAGCTAACACCTCGGTTGGGATTGTGTTACAGGATCTTAGCCCTCGTCTAAGATACCCCAATCTCACTCAGTCTAAGATCCTGTAACATCCTAACCTCAGCTAACACCTCGGTTAGGATTGTGTTACAGGATCTTAGCCCTCGTCTAAGATACCCCAATCTCACTCAGTCTAAGATCCTGTAACATCCTAACCTCAGCTAACACCTCGGTTGGGATTGTGTTACAGGATCTTAGCCCTCGTCTAAGATACCCCAATCTCACTCAGTCTAAGATCCTGTAACATCCTAACCTCAGCTAACACCTCGGTTGGGATTGTGTTACAGGATCTTAGCCCTCGTCTAAGATACCCCAATCTCACTCAGTCTAAGATCCTGTAACATCCTAACCTCAGCTAACACCTCGGTTAGGATTGTGTTACAGGATCTTAGCCCTCGTCTAAGATACCCCAATCTCACTCAGTCTAAGATCCTGTAACATCCTAACCTCAGCTAACACCTCGGTTAGGATTGTGTTACAGGATCTTAGCCCTCGTCTAAGATACCCCAATCTCACTCAGTCTAAGATCCTGTAACATCCTAACCTCAGCTAACACCTCGGTTAGGATTGTGTTACAGGATCTTAGCCCTCGTCTAAGATACCCCAATCTCACTCAGTCTAAGATCCTGTAACATCCTAACCTCAGCTAACACCTCGGTTGGGATTGTGTTACAGGATCTTAGCCCTCATCTAAGATACCCCAATCTCACTCAGTCTAAGATCCTGTAACATCCTAACCTCAGCTAACACCTCGGTTAGGATTGTGTTACAGGATCTTAGCCCTCGTCTAAGATACCCCAATCTCACTCAGTCTAACCTCAGCTAACACCTCGGTTAGGATTGTGTTACAGGATCTTAGCCCTCGTCTAAGATACCCCAATCTCACTCAGTCTAAGATCCTGTAACATCCTAACCTCAGCTAACACCTCGGTTGGGATTGTGTTACAGGATCTTAGCCCTCGTCTAAGATACCCCAATCTCACTCAGTCTAAGATCCTGTAACATCCTAACCTCAGCTAACACCTCGGTTGGGATTGTGTTACAGGATCTTAGCCCTCGTCTAAGATACCCCAATCTCACTCAGTCTAAGATCCTGTAACATCCTAACCTCAGCTAACACCTCGGTTGGGATTGTGTTACAGGATCTTAGCCCTCGACTGAGATATCCCAATCTCACTCAGTCTAAGATCCTGTAACATCCTAACCTCAGCTAACACCTCGGTTGGGATTGTGTTACAGGATCTTAGCCCTCGTCTAAGATACCCCAATCTCACTCAGTCTAAGATCCTGTAACATCCTAACCTCAGCTAACACCTCGGTTGGGATTGTGTTACAGGATCTTAGCCCTCGTCTAAGATACCCCAATCTCACTCAGTCTAAGATCCTGTAACATCCTAACCTCAGCTAACACCTCGGTTAGGATTGTGTTACAGGATCTTAGCCCTCGTCTAAGATACCCCAATCTCACTCAGTCTAAGATCCTGTAACATCCTAACCTCAGCTAACACCTCGGTTAGGATTGTGTTACAGGATCTTAGCCCTCGTCTAAGATACCCCAATCTCACTCAGTCTAAGATCCTGTAACATCCTAACCTCAGCTAACACCTCGGTTAGGATTGTGTTACACGATCTTAGCCCTCGTCTAAGATACCCCAATCTCACTCAGTCTAAGATCCTGTAACATCCTAACCTCAGCTAACACCTCGGTTAGGATTGTGTTACACGATCTTAGCCCTCGTCTAAGATACCCCAATCTTGCACAGTTACAGATTTTATTAGTATCAGCAAAAGAATTTGGATGGACAGAAACTAGTCAGACAAACTATCAAAGGACAAATTAAGTGGACAAAGACAATTCATCCACAGTAAAGCACAAAGACCTATTGATGTTATGGTCAAACCAGATTTCTCATAGAATCATGGACTATCATACCTGTATATACGTGATCATGGCGTAGCAGTGCTGTGTAAGATGTGTTCCAATGAGTTTGATCAACTTCTCAAAACGAGCAGTCACATGATGTACTTTCTGTGCATACATGGCAAGGTACTGCAATGATAATAGGATAAAAAATTATCTGGAATCATTCAAGACTGAATATTTCCCACCAGAATTCATAAATATCATCAGTGCCATCTGAAAAGTAGTTCAGTTCATATATCTGCCATTTTCAAATTATTTCAATTTCACCAAGTTGCATCAATTGAAATATTAAAATTCTGAAAGTTAAATGTATTACAATTGAATTCAAGAATCTGTATCAGGTATGCTTGTTGAAAAAATAGAACATCCTTCAAGATTTCAAGAATCTGTATCAAGTATGCTTGTTGAAAAAATAGAACAATCTCCAAATTTGTTCAATAAATAAAATAGCTTCCCAAAACTGCAACTGGTATATGACGCTAAATTGTTGTCCTGTTAGAAGCTCAAATCCCTCCTTTGAGTCGAGGATTACATATTGTCCTTGGTTTGTAGGAGGACGATATTTTAATAATTACAAGAGATGAGTGAAACCTAGTTCTCTTAAAACTTACATATTTAAAACAAAGATTTTCAGTGCTAAAGACAGGAGCATGATTAATTTGTCTCAAAACCACTTACATATTTAACAAGAAGAGTCAGAGTACCAAAGAGACGAGTGGTCTGTTTGATAATAGCCTCAACACAGACTCCCACAGGCATGGCTGACTGGATGAGCTCATGGAAGGCTGTAACTAGGATACCAAGGCGACTACATATTGATTTTTCATGGCCTTCTCGCTGTGTAAGATCATCTGTGTCTGTAAAACAAAAAACAGAAATCAATCAGAATTTAACAGAAGTATACTGAAGTCTACCTGTTGAAAAAAATTTAATAACATTTCAATTAATTGTACAATCTCTTCAGTACCAAGTCAAATCACAAATCAGAGATGAAAGCTTAGTAAATTCTCACCTTATCTTCATCACAAATCAGAGATGAAAGCTTAGTAAATTCTCACCTTATCTTCATCACAAATCAGACATGAAAGCAAAGTAAATTCTCACCTTATCTTCATCACAAATCAGACATGAAAGCAAAGTAAATTCTCACCTTATCTTCATCACAAATCAGACATGAAAGCAAAGTAAATTCTCAGTCCACTTCACAGACTAATAAGCTAACTCAATATGACATGTAACAAGAAACTGTTGTCTTCATGAAATAATATAACACTTGTGAGATGTTTTTAAGTAGAGATGTTTTGTATGTTATATCAATTCAAACAAGTAAATAACATCTATTTCAATTAAATGCTACCATCAGCTGGTGCTGCAGACAATGTTTCTGCCTTTATCCGTGCTATGGCCCACTCTGTGTCATCTAATTCTCTTTCCACTTGTTGTAGAACCAGGAGAAGGATAGTCGGAGCTGCAGTCCGTGCTGTGATAGAAGCATGATGGGTTCGATCCTCTACCTCTACCTCCTGAAAAACAAATCATTACATTTGTGGTAGTCTCTAGGCAATTGCATCTGTTTATACTGCACATTTTAACACTGTTTGGAGACTTGCTGATTGATTCAGAAACAAGAAAGACTTATTTTGAAATTGATATCCATTATCAATTTGTAACATTAATATCTGGTGTCTGACTATGGTATTTGTGATTACATCTCGACAGGAATATTTTCAACCCTGCTTGGAGACTTGAGCTGCTTTTGCATACATTGGTTGAAACAGTCCTGGGACTTGAGCTGCTTTTGCATACATTGGTTGAAACAGTCCTGGCACCATGGAAATATTCCAAAATAAATGAACGCACCTGAATCTGATGTTTGAAATGTTTTATGTAGAGCTCATAATGCAAAGTTTTGAAATTTCTACCAGAGATGAGACAATAAACCATTTATATAATATAATCTATTTAAACCTGTATGAAATACAATAACGTTTTAGAAATATGAGTTTACATCAACCCTAAATCATAAGGCAATGGTGAATCTTAGTGATAGTCTGCAAGTTAGTTTCAGAGAGGTACCTGGTCAATGTCACCAAGTTGTGAGTGAATATCTTGTGATATGTCTCGTAGGTAAGGGGGACAACTCTTTCTCTGCTGGATCATCTCCAGTAACATTCCAAAGAGAAGCTTACATGTAGATAAATCATCTGTGCAACAAAGAAAGCATACCAATAAAAGGATCTTATCCTCATTCATCAAGGTGTTGTTTGATTCAAAATCCTCAACCAATCAATAACACAAGTTTAGAAATACATTGTTAGAAATGGATTTGAAGCAGCATTTGAATTTGTGAAGTTGTTAAATCCACCAAATTTTAAATAGACATGTTTGTAAATCAAACAGATTAAACAAGAATTACACATAATTTAAGTCTTGCCTTATACTTTGTAAGTACAAGTATGCTCATGTATGGCCACATACACTGAAATTTTTTACCTCTTTCAAATACATGATTTCTAACTTGAAATTAACTGTAATTAATAACAGGTTAAAAACATCAGATATATTGTTGCCATTTTTTAATATTAATGTAAAGTTAAACATGAAATGAAAATTTTTTTACACCAAAGGCGAGAGAGGAAACTTGAGTTTCAAAATGACTATCTACTACATCTGAAGTGAATAGAATAATCCATAAGGACTCCATAGTCATTTATCATAAAATAAAACACTAAAATAATGAAATTTTATTTATGACAAATTGAGCTAAACACAAAATTTTCCTTCCAGCTTCTCAACAGCCCTTAAATATACCTAATATCTTTATCCTGTATTAAGCTTAGGGATCTCACACATAACCATAGAATCAAAGTCAGGGGGTAGGCTTATTGCAGGAAAATGAAATAAATACTTACAAACATGGACTATTGTCCAATATACTGGGTACAAGTACATACAGGTAATTAACAGAGACTCCAAAATCATGAAAACAAGACCTTGTCCAAGTCCATACTTCCTATTTCTCTCCTATGGCCTATGACCTACCTATGGTTTGTTCTGTACAGATGTTTTGAACCCAGTCCAACACTTTTTCAAATTGGGTATTAGAGACCTTCAGCTCACGGCACAGTAGCTGGATGATCGTCAATAAATGGGTCACTTCCTTCCAGTTGTGGTCATCATCTTCAGCAGATAGAAGGTTCATCACAAGCCTCTGTCAAATAGACAATGGTAATAGATTCTATATTTGTAACTGTGTTGAAGTCTGTCCTACAGACATTTGTAACTGTATCTTCCATCAAAACACTTCATACCGAGTCATATTATTATGTCAGTAACAACAAATTAGGCAAAATAATAGTAGATACTTTAATTTTCAGCCACTATTAGCCATAGTGACAGTACAAATTACCTGTAACCTGTAAATGCATTTCTGACTTTCCTATTATTTGTATTATTTGTATGTAACAGTATTTCTAACTTTAAAATTACCTAACTTTTCTAATTTTACCTGTAACCTGTATATAACTTACTACTAACTACCTTTATCAGTGGCTTGATTTCCAGATTTACCTGTAACTTGTATTTCAGATAGATAGACCATATCTCAGACTTACCTGAAACTTTTTGATGTTACTATATATCACCTCCTGGTGGTTATCCAAGGCCTGTGCTCCTACTGCATTAGATAAAAACATGAGCTCTATCAAACATCTTCAATGTGAAATGTATACATGATGTAAACAGAAATTAGAACATGTCTGTGGTACATTGATATCCCTACATTTCCCAAATGTCATTTTTTTGGATGTTAAACAAGTTCAATCTACATAGAAACATAGATCAAACTTAAATCACAGAGGCCTGATACCAGCTGTACTTACAGATATCAAAAGAGGCCTGATACCAGTTATACTTACAGATATCAAAAGAGGCCTGATACCAGCTGTACTTACAGATATCAAAAGAGGCCTGATACCAGCTGTACTTACAGATATCAAAAGAGGCCTGATACCAGCTGTACTTACTGATATCAAAGGAGGCCTGATACCAGCTGTACTTACAGATATCAAAAGAGGCCTGATACCAGCTGTACTTACAGATATCACAAATGGCCTGATACCAGCTATACTTAAGATATCGCAAGAGGCCTGATACCAGCTATACTTACAGATATCACAAGAGACCTGATACCAGCTATACTTACAGATATCAAAAATGGCCTGATACCAGCTATACTTACAGATATTGCAAGAGGCCTGATACCAGCTGTACTTACAGATATCACAAGAGGCCTGATACCAGCTGTACTTACAGATATCAAAAGAGGCCTGATACCAGTTATACTTACAGATATCAAAAGAGGCCTGATACCAGCTGTACTTACAGATATCAAAAGAGGCCTGATACCAGCTGTACTTACAGATATCAAAAGAGGCCTGATACCAGCTGTACTTACTGATATCAAAGGAGGCCTGATACCAGCTGTACTTACAGATATCAAAAGAGGCCTGATACCAGCTGTACTTACAGATATCACAAATGGCCTGATACCAGCTATACTTAAGATATCGCAAGAGGCCTGATACCAGCTATACTTACAGATATCACAAGAGACCTGATACCAGCTATACTTACAGATATCAAAAATGGCCTGATACCAGCTATACTTACAGATATTGCAAGAGGCCTGATACCAGCTGTACTTACAGATATCACAAGAGGCCTGATACCAGCTGTACTCACAGATATCAAAAGAGGCCTGATACCAGCTGCACTTACAGATATTACATGAAGCCTGATACCAGCTATACTTACAGATATCACAGAGACAGGAAGCCAGCTATACTTACAGATATCACAGAGACAGGAAGCCAGCTGCTCCTTGTGTTGCTGGGTCAGTATCGTCACTATGCTCACCAGTCCCTCCAAGCACTGACCATAGATCCCCTTACTGCGGCTACGCTTCCCTTCTTCACTCGGCTTCTGGTTCTCAGAGTAATGCTTCAGGAAAGTACTGAAACATTTGTTAAGATATCAAATCGAAATGAAGTTTGTCACCATGTTTAGTTGGAGCCCTGTACCTTAATTACCTATGACTGCCATTTCCTTTATATATCAATAGTGGCCTTTGATACAACTGGAAAAATCAAACATGAGCTATTTTCTTGACAGTCATGAAGAAAATGCACTGCAACTTTCATTCATGTAACATGTATGTAAATGTACCTGCCAAGACTGCAGATGAGGTGTCGTATCTTGTTGCTATCGCTGGCCTCCAGACCGTCACACACTCCCTTGTCCTGTACTTGCTGGATTTTTTGTAGAGCCACACCCATCACATACTTTCTGAAATCCATGTTGTCACGCAAGGTTTGTACACTCTCCTGATGACTGAGTGCTGTGTCACTATTAAAGAAACCAGTCAATGCTAAGTACAAGTGATATTTGGGTGGTTTCCATGTACACAGTATAGTCCTATATCTACACAATCTATAGTCTTAATTCTGTATAGTCAAAACTAACTACATATGCTGCTTAATACATCCCAATTCTATTAGTATTCAATGTACAATACCAATTCTGAGTACTATGACATGTAGAGTGTCATTGTACTTCGCAATATGCTGTCTGATAGTAACCAAGGTTTGATAAACGAATATCTTTACTTTTAAGTTCAAATTTGACATCACTTCTTAACATCAACGACTAACCAATCAAATCATGATGATTAAATATACAAGGTTGGGGTATAAGCAACACTTAAGTCTCTTTTTAATTGGTTAAATGTTCCATTCTACAGTCTCTGATAAAATGACAATTATCTTATTGTTTAATCTCAGTTATTATATTCAAAGTGCCAAATTAAAAGGCAAAATCACTGAAGTATAGATTTTTAAACTACAACTAGTCTTACTTGATAATGGCATCCAGAATGGCTGAGACACAGTCCAGGGACAACATACTTCGTGGGGGTTTACTGGTAGGACCTTTGCCTTTTTTCCCAGTAGCAGCGGTGGCCTTCTCTTTCAGTACAGATCCCAGCTTATGATAGTTCTCAAATAATCCTAAGACTTCCTCTGTACTGTTTACACTGAATCAAGAATGATCAGATCGCAAGTCACAATAGCTCTCCTAAAATTCCTCAGTACTGTTTATAACTAATTAAGAATACTGAATCATAAGCATTTTAAACAGAGATACCATGCTTGTAGTAACAGTAGCTGATGCTACCATCAAAATACATGTTCTACTTTGATGTTTCGCAAAACTTCCTATCTGAAATCAATTGTGCACTTCTGGAACCACCTCTCATCCCCTTTTCTTATTTCTGCAGGAAAATAAAATGAAACTTGAGGGAGCGAATTGTTGTGATTGTTACAGCTAGAAATGATGACTAAGCAGAAAGAAGTGATATTCTAACCTGAACTGTCCCTTCAGAAAAGTGTATTCCATGAGTACCTCATACATCCCTAGTACAAGGATAGCAAAGATGTTGTTCTTTATACCAACACTACTTCCCAGGGAGAAGTCAGCTGCTTTGTCCTACAAAGAGAAATTTTATTTGATTTACTAATTACTGTATTTTATTGCAGAAAGTTTGTACAATAGGATAGGGCACAAGTTTGACCAACTTATAAAGCCCTCTCCAATACATAGTTTATACACCAATACTTAATCAACAAGCAATGTAAAAAAATACATATGGTAATAATTTTTGATTGAAACAAAAGGGAAGGACTGAAGAGAAGGAAGGAGGGTAGGTAAGGAGGGAAGAAGGGAGTATATAGTACAAAGTAAATTTTTTAACGTTCATGGACAGTATGTACTGTATGAACTGTCCACTTGATCAATCAATCAATCAATCAATCAGCAACCTCCACACCATATTTGAAAAAGAAAGAAGATTTCATGATAAATCTTCACATCTAACATACCAGTATAGATGTTGTGAGGTGCCAATGTACCACTGTTCAAGACAAAATTTAAACATGTATGGGTTTGGACAAATAAGTAAAATCATAGTATTGATTGTGCTCAAACATAATGTATAAAAGGGATTGAAAGAATTCAATAAAGGAAGTGGTTTAATGATGCAGAATGGTAGAAAACAACAAGTAAGAATGTTCCCTAACTCCTAATTATTTCCTTTGAAAGATATAACTTTTGTTGAAATTACCAAGTATTAATTTCATACAATAACAATGATTTCCAAACTTAATTCTGATATTATAATGTTGCATGAATTTGTTTAAGAGACGGGCAGGTGACAAATAATATCATCTAGGAATTTTATCCTAATGATACTTTTCCATAAGATTTCTGAGAGGAGGTAGATTGTCAAAGCATGAGAGATTTACATGAGTTCTATTGATCAATTTTTCTTTGATCGTTATCGACTAATCTAAAATAAAGATATTACAAAAATGATCGGAGGAAACCAATTCATCACTTTTGTGAAAAAAGCAGCTGGAAAAATTTGAAACAAAGCTGAAAACTCTTACAGTCAATAATTCATTTTTTCACAATCATCATACAGGTTTTACCATTTTGCCATGTCAACTTCTGATCACAAAAAGCAAAAATAACATGCAGGAAAAACATATAAGTTTTTAGTGTAAATTACCAGCTCAAAGTCTTCCATCTCAGACTTGATCATCCTCTGGGTAATACTTTCTAACATGTCCTCCAGCTCAGACTTGACGGACAGGATGTGAGTGTCATCATCATCGTCATCATCATCCGTCTGCTGACGTCGGATATCAGAGACTTTCAGAACTGACAACTGAACACAGCCAAGAAGATGAGCCTGTCAGTGAAGAAGAAAATACTCTTGATAATTAACAAAGAATGACCCTTCTGTGATGTCACTCTTTCCAGAGCTCAGCAATATGTCTTGTTTTACATAATGCACTATCTATATCTAGTTTTGTTGGGTTTTTTTGTCAGTTTTTCCCTTGGTCTTTTAGAGTGTTAGAAAAAATCATATTTTGGATATCTTGGAACAAGTAAAATCATGAAAAAAGGTTTTAAAAGACTATAAAGAAACACTGTAAATAGTATTTTGAGAGTGTTTTTGGTTTCATTTCCACTGTTTGTAGTTCTTTAGCTCATAATTAGTAAAGTTAGTTTTTTTTGAGTAATTTTTACATACCCTTTACAATTATTTTTATCAATCAAAGCCTAGGTTATAATTTACAGCTGTTTTTATTTATGTGGGTGTTTAGGAACAGACAAAGAAGTGTTTCCTTTTTTCCAGAGCTTGTGTCTTGTGTATTTGTTTAGGTTTAGTTTATAAATATGGATATGTATATATGTACATTTATTATAGAATTTCTAGAGATTTTTTTTGTTTGGCAAGACCAAACAAAAATAAAATTGTTAGCTGTAACATGTTGAAAAGTTTTAGGATCAGTAGGTTGTCAGAAAATATGATTTTAACAAATGATTTTATATGGTATATAAAAGAGAGAGATTGTAACTTTTAAAGTTTTTTTTTTTTAATTTCCTTAAAAAGTAAGGTTACTGGAAACAGGAAATATTTTTGTTTGGCCTTATTTGGGAGAGACAGGGGTCTTATAACTATTTCAGAGAAGGAATTAATGTAACATTAAGTGACATATTGTTATCTGATACTCAGATGTAACCATTCTTGTGCTTAATTATATGATATATTATGGTTAGATGATTTTTAAGAATATTAGAGCCAAAGTGATATTGGCTCTCTATACTAGCTCTAGATCTCTATGGGAAAGTCTACACAATTACCTTCTACTGCAGTATCCTGATTTCCTTAGAAATGTTTAGAGTCCATTCTGCTGAGGTTGTGAGTACAGATTCTACTTGAATGGAGAGTAATTAGGAATATATGGGAGAGTGAATTATGTAATGTATGGACTAGTTTAAATGTTGAGAAATAATTTCTTTAAAATATGATGTTGTTCTATTGTCCATCCATAACACACAGTGATTGTACATTGTATCAGAGGACATGGAGGAAGCGGTCAAAGAGCACTACATATATTTATATATTCTCAGTGAAAGCACAGGTAATTGTGGAGTTCATACAGAGCAAGATTTCAGTTTTTGTGTTACAGATGTCAAATTGGTGCAATTAAGTCATTCATATTCAGGTAGTCCACAAAAGTCTGCTATCTGTTCAAATGTGTGGTAACCACACTACCACAAGTTAATCGTTAGGTGAGTCTTGTGCATCACATTATCTATCCACAGTTGATTCTGTTTCAGATGGTCAGCTAGAAACCTTTATTTGATGAATGACGGCAAGAATTCTTATGTGGGATGTTTGTTGTAAAGTAATGTTGTACTTACCAAAGGTTCCTGCAGGTAAACTTGGTCTCCCTGAGCACATATGCATCTGTCGAGTTTCAGTGGGGGGTTTACATCTTCTGACAGTTCATAGTATTTTTTTAACTAAAATTAAAAGTTTAAATGGTATGTTTCGAAGGCAAGCAAAATTGGGGAGTATTTAAGGGACATCAGTTTTATCATTTTGTGGACTATGACTTCACAGATTTAGAGAGTCCACGATATTAATGAAAATAAAATTCCACAAAAATGACTAATTTTAAAGTTACCTTTGACAGATTGCAAAAGAAAAAAAGTCAAGGATATGTACAAGTATTCAGCTTACTTGTTTAAGTTTTTGGAAATGTGTTTACATAAGCCACTGGACAGTCACAAGCCTACCTGTGATAAAAGTATATTCAGGATAGGTCCCTGTAGCCGGCTGTTACGACACAAAACTTTGTAGATCCCCTTCAAAATTTAAAATTTCCGTTTTTATAGAGAGAAAATAGGCAACAAGTCATAAAAATTACAAACCAAACCGAGAAAAAGTTTATAACAGACTTCTCTATATTCTCAAACTTGTCTTCGTTGTGAAAATACTTTAATATATCAGTCAATTTGAGTTAAATGAGATTGAACATTTGCTATACCAATTCTGTATGATATAAACTCTTTGGAAGCCACAGAAAAGGAGCACATGTCAGTCTCTACATTACAAAAAGATGAAAATAATGATACATTTTTCCTCTGTTTTTCCCCCCTTTTTTTTAGCAAACCTCATAGAAGATGAGACGTATATCAGCCTGTTGCGTCAGGGAGCGACGTAGATTTCCCACAATCTCCAGACAAAGGGCCTCATTACTTGACGGATTGTATCGAGCATGTACATCCACTTGAATCTGTTTTAAAAATAAAACCAATGAAACATACATTTTTTTGTAATGTTTCAAGTTCTTCCTTCACGTGTTTTGTTCAAGAAACAATATGAGCACGTTATTTCTAAATGCATTTCATACATAGTTATACTTAAAGAAATTACATGTGTGTTTATTAAACAAACTGCTCTTGTAAATAAAAAATTCATAATCAGGATATGTCCATAGAGCTATCAAAATTATTCACAGGGACCGTAAAGACAATCCTATAAAGTTAAAACATCTCTAACTGAGACATAATCTTAAAATATAGAAATGATTGTCTCCCTTTAATTTCAGGTACTTGCCTGGCTTGATGAGACAGATTGACTGGCCTGGCTGGGCTGTAATCCTCCAAGGACTCGAAAATGTTTCAGGATCATAAGGAATCCATTTACACCTATTTTCCTGGAGTCTAGCTGCCTAACAACAGACACAAAAACTTTATTTACAATCAATAAACCTAATATTAACAAGGGATACTGTTAATGAATATAAGTTCGCTTCCCACACAAAAGTATTTATTAAATTAAACTATTTTCAATTGAAATTATTTCATATTTTTATCAAATTTCCAAAATTTGCAATACAATCTTGAAAATTTTCTTCTCAATTCACCAAATTTTCCTCCCAAAATGAGGTGAAAATGTCCCCAACCAGTGAAAAACAAAAATTCTGTGCACATTGCCTTTTACTATCTTTCTAATAGTATTTTAGGTTTTAAAAAAAAATTCTACAAATACAAATCTATTTAAGATGGAAAATTACTCAGGTTTGGATCTTAGTAACCCACAACTTTGTTTATACAGATGTGACATCGTTTCTCATTTGAATGTTTGACTAGCTGGACTTCGGCCATTTCTTTATGATAATGACTGGACCTACTGATATTATTTTACTTTCTGACAACCTTGACAAAGAATTTTCAGACTTGTATAAATGTGTGCATGTCCTTTATAAATGATGTCCCAATAATATAAATGAACCAACCTGAGCAAATGAACAAGTTGTCTTTCATATGGTCCAATTTACAAGCATGCAAATTACTTAGTTTTAGTCTACAAAAGGTTTTAAAAGTATTTTATGTTAAATATCTCTCCTCTACCTTGAAAACATTGCCTTCCTCAGCACTAGTATGAGAGAGTCCTTCAGGGACATGCTGAATTTGAGCAGTGGTTGGATGGCTTTGAGGAGTCCGTAGGCAGAGGAAGGTGTGAGAAAAGACAGATAATCAAACATTTCTCTCACTTTAGGGGTCGACTCTAGCAGGATCTGAGGTGCTGACATCACAGTACTGGACAGTAGATCTACACAACACAAACATCAATTTTAATGGTGAAATATTAACAGATGCCAATTCATTGTCCTACAATAAACCCAACCCTAACATCACGTCAAAATTTATTTCTGGGCTTGTAACAGGACTGATATGGTAGTAATCCTGAAAATGAAGTTTTTAAAGATTTTGATACAAATTTATACTGTGACCATGAAATGGGATTTAAGTTTATACAACAATTTTGTCATCCTATTAATGAAAACCTAACATTATTACACATAGTATGTTTAGCGTAATAGTGATACATTCTCAATTTAAGATGGATGTTTCAAGATATTTTCCTTAAATGATATATTTTACTGAAATTTATCTTTACACTCCAGATGCTTCTCTACATGTGTAAGAAATCAATATTAGAAACTTGATTACAACTACCCAAGTAATGGCTGACAGGTGATGTTGCCTTGGTAACCACTCGATTAAATATCTGCTCCAATATATCTACTCTGACCATCTCATGAGCCTGTGGAATAGAAAATTCACCTGTTAATAAATTCAAACTAGTCCTTTTTGGGGTGGGTGGGTGGGGGTAGGGTAACATAGTGACATTTTGATCAAAATATGTTATCATCAAGTTAACATGACACGGTAAACAAAGACTCATCATCTTTTCTTTCTTCTTCAAATTAACTTTAATTTTTGGTTTTATCTCTGAAATTCTGAAAAGCATTTTGTAGTAGCTGGTGGCTACCCAAATTGCTTGTAGTTACAACCACAAAAACAGCAGTAGAAGATCTGTTATCCTGAGAAACACAAACTGCGTCCCACATCACAGACTTCAGAACTTTATCTGAAGTTGCGAAGTCTAAAGCTTTGCCTTACATATTTGATTTTCCTGTTTGGTATATTTCAGTGGTGAAAAAAGTAATAACAAAAGGTTACATCAATTACTTATGTATATAATGAACATATCACAGAGATTGAAATCCAATAAAAGATTTAGGTTTTACCTTAAATGTATTAAGTAATATTTTGCTGCCCAGCTTACAGGCACGGTGAGAGGGTGTATGTGACGGCACACTAGTTATCTCTTCCACTCTTCCAAAAACAGCTTTTGGTCCAAACGAATCCATCAATGTAAAACCAAGATGAACTAATCCCTGTATCACATGGTCCCAGCCATAAACGCTATAAAACCAAACCAATATATATTTATCATATTTGAACAATGTACAACAAACTTAAAAATTAATGAAAATTTAGTAAATAACTATGTCTTGCTTCCCATGGAAATACTTCAACAGATCTCAGTCAACAAGCAGATGTTCTGACTCAACAAAGGATAAATGATTAACTGTTTCTTGAAGATAAGAAAAATTAATGCTTATTCAATTTGAGAATAATTAAAAGTGTTGATACCACATGCTTCCCCCATTCTCCAAATTCAATGAAAATTTAATGAAAAAGTTTGATCAAAGTAATTTCAAACCTCTCTTTTTTTCTAAATTTGAGATAACCTTTCTACAACATAGGACCAAAATTTGGTTATGCTATTAGATTAAGATAGTTCTGAAAAGGTATGCTAAGCAAAGCGTCTTCATATGAACTAAAACCACAAACCCCTAAAACACAAATATCACTACCAAATGAAGAAACTTCTAGTTGAATTTAGTAATGTGTAAATTAATGTTTGTATTTTAATTCAACTAGAGTAGAATATTGATATTCAAAATGAACATTTTCCAAATTCCATATTCCTCACATAAATATTGGATTAAAGTTCTAAGTTTTTTGGTATTTATTTGAGTGTGATAATAAATTTGGTTAATTCAGCACCAATGCAGTTTTTGTAAAATTAATTAAAACCCATTAGAAAGGGTTTGTCTTGATTCCACACTTTCAATGGCACGAGACTATAAACACTGTACCACTGAAGGAAAACCTCTGTTTTCAATAATTTTGATAATAAGCTTTGCATATGGTACAATATACCTATTCTGTACGGTCTCCAGCACCAAATCTTCTATACTATACAATATACCTGTTCTGTACGGTCTCCAGCACCAAATCTTCTATATGACACAATATACCTATTCTGTACGGTCTCCAGCACCAAATCTTCTATATGAGAGCTCTGAGGGACCAACTCTCTCAACCAAGCAGATTGATCCTGTTTATCACTGTCTTTAAAACTCTTTAAAACTGTCGCCTTTAGAAAGTCAAGTATCTGTAGAAAATGGAAAAAATATTTACCATATTAAAGTTATTCCGTAGAAGGATGACATGATACAATAGTGATGTTGGTGTTAGAACATCTGCTCTAGATAAGAAAAGGTTCAGGATCAAGGTAAAGGGTAATTATAGGCCAATTCACTAACATGAAACTTACTGGCCAAGTCACATTAAAATTCAAGCTTTTCATTAAAAAAAAATGGTATTACAAATGTCTACTTTCATAATATAAGATTTTATTTGTATAATCATAATATTTTCAGCAGAGCGCAAAACCTGTCAATCGAGATAAAAAGCATATTCATGTTAGCCTGGTGAGATGAAACTTCCATATTAAACAGAATTTGTCTGTAAAGTTAAATTTCATCATAAAGAAAATGAATATGTGTAATCATTTATCCCAGATTACACCTAGAAACCATATTACCTGGTCCTCATATCTGTGGATACAGGACAGGGAGAGAGCCAGGGCAAGATTGAATGGAGCCAGAACCTGTGTGGCACAACCTTGTTGCTGACCCTGTAACACCAAATGTCATTAACACTGAAAAAATATCTGAAATTAATTTCTTTATGAAATTGAAAACTTTTCAATTTGGTATTTGATTATGTGCGGGGAAAACTTATCAAAAATTACCTAAATAATGCAAAATGAAAAAAAAAGGACTTATTTTTCTGAAAATATCATAATGATATACAAACCTTAAGAAATTTGATGAACTCCTTCCCAAGATTGCTGTTAAGTTTGGAAGCAAAATTGACATGGAGTATGACTGTACCCTCTGTATGGCGAACTGTTTCTTCATTGTCATCTTCCATCAGATCCTCGCTGTGACAAAGAACCAACATAAACTGGTATAGCTGATAACAAAACCTCTGTAACTTGGTAAAGGTATATGGTATAGTCTCAGTTTATTGAAATCTAGTTGTTGATTTATTACACAGAAAGTACCAGATAAAAATGGCTTCAACTGCCTCATAATTTTTCAGTCATATATGAATTATTCACTCAAATTCTATTGATGATGCATTGTTATCCGGAGATTTTCTCACACAAACCTCACTTCATTGGTTGATTTGTCACGAAAGTGCTTGTCTTGTTCTATGAAAAAGTTTGTGATTCCTTCAATCACTAGACGATGATGTCCCTAAAATAAAAATCAACAAAAATATGTTTTTATTCCATCCAATTTTTAGCATATAAAACACTTCTATGCATCCAAATTTTGGTGTATGTTTAATGTGCATATTGCCATATTAAGTAAAACACCATTCCTTAAATTCTTAAAAATATGCTACTGGTAAGTAAGAGACTGACATTGTCCAATGATTGTGATAAATGAAACTGTCAAGCAAACTGAAGAAAGATTTCTACATTTTCCCCTTCGAAAAGGCAAATTATAAAGAAAGAAAATAGACGGAGAGACTTGCAAACTATCCAGAAATTAGTTCTTAGTTATGACATAGTACATTTCCATCTGTACAGTTTACATATTAATCTTTATTTTCAAAATTATAAGGTATTTATCCCAAGCCCAGGAACCAGGAAACCAACATACCTTGCCTTTGATATGGTAGAATTCAAATGATGCAATATCAGGGCTCTCACACCCCATTTTGGGACTGGGGCCCTTAGAATTTGGAAAAATATCAGCGTTTTACTTAGACCTGGGAAAACTTGGCGTCTAAATTGGGAAAAAAAAGATACTATTTTGTATTGGGAATGGGGCCGAATATCGGTCCCAAATCTGGCAGATCGAGAGCCCTGAATATATAGGTAGACAGTAGGATTTAATACAGAAAATATATGTGATGCAAATGCGTTACACATTGGGATGCACGATACAGGCTGAAAATATAGGAAATACTGTGGGAGGACGAACAGTGAAGCTTTAGACAGTGTAACTAAATATACAGGATGATGCATACTGTTTGAGTGTATAATCCTTTGACCTTTACATGGTACACATGTATCTGGGTTTACTGACAATGATATAAAACATGTTTGCATTTCCATTGAAATTGCATTGTAAGTGACTGAGCTGAATACCTAACATTGGTTTAGTAACAGATAAATAAGATATTTATCAACATTCATAAAACTGAAACTAATACAAATAACTAATTTATAAATATCAAACTACCTTTGAAGACAACAGGAGAAGTTGATACACAAGAGCTGGTAAATCTGCGACTTCTAATTCCTTCATCATCCGTAGTATCTTCTCCAATACAAACTTGAGCTCATCCAATGTCATAATCACATCTTTAAACATCCCTGCTAGGTGAATCACACTCTGGGCATTCCATCTAAACAGGATAATTTTCTGATAAGCGTTTCATTTTCATTTTTTTATATTTTATCAAAATAAGTAAATATTCTCCTTCCCATACCTTGGTCACATTATTACATGTACCAACACTTAGAATAATAAGTTTGCTGTGATACTGGCTATCCTACAAAGTATTAAAAACAGGATAAATCAAATATTTTATCTTTCCTCCTAAATACTATCAAAGTGATTAAAGTCTTCCATCAACTTTGTCTCTGGATTGGTTTTTAAAGTGATTGTGTGTCATATGGCAAGACCGTCTAATTTCAATCACAATCAAACATTTTTAGAGGTAAGAAGATTGTCCTACATTAAATTACTTACGATGATACCAAATAGAAATATAGCATTGTGCAAACACATCAAAACAAATAAGAAGCGATCAACACAGGCCAAAGGTAAATAATACTGAAAACAAACACACATTAATCATCTATCATTAAATTTATAACAAAACAAAACAAAACAAAACAAAACAAAAAACAAAAAAAAATATCTCTAATAAGATTAGGTATCTCATGCAAGATACCTCATCTTGCATGAAATATATGTAAATTTATCTGCCACTTTTTTCCTTTGGTTAAACTTCTTATATCCGAAAGTGGAAAGTTTCAGTACTGAAACAGGAAAAGTTAAATAAATGGATGGCCTTTTTCTATTTCTAAAAAGGAAGAAATTTCATCTTTTCAACCAAGACATGATAAATACCTGCAAGAACAGAGGCTGTTTAGGACATGACCCTTGTACTCTGTTCCACTCATACTGTTGTCACCATATATCACTGTTTCTTCATTGGCCAGTGCTGACAAGATTTTGGGCAGAAGTTCCAGTCCTCTGTAAAAAAATGATTTCATTAAAAAGTAAAATATTTTTCTTGAAGATTTCATTAAAATATCCAAAGATATTTTTATGAGATTTTTTTACAGAGTTTTCAATCATGTACAATAATGATTGCCATAAAAAATTCAGCACATTTGAATTTGACACAAAAACATTTCCACATTCCGTCAATAATTTCTCAACTTTTCTAATAGAAGGTGATCAATAACGTATAGCATTGAATGAAGAGATTTTGAGCCCCAAAATGAAAGTAATTGATCATTGCTTGGTTCCAAGTTGGAATAATAAACAGAAAAAAAAAACAAAAAAATCAGTGACCTTGGATTCCTTGGAACTGTTTTAATAGGTTTCTTGCCTTGATGCATATTTCACAACTCTACTTACTTTTCACACTGAGCCTGGCCATTCTTGATCAAGTCAATGAATAAACTTGATATTTCTATCAGAGCTTTCCCAGGTAGTTCATCAGCCTTATATTAAAAGCACACATAAATCATTTTTAATTATGAAACAAACAATAGAAGAGGTGATAATTTTACAGTTTATTTTATGATGTAAACAACTCATTAAGTTTTCCAATAATTTGCAAAATCATATATTACCATTGGACTAATTACATGTTTTTTCAAAAAGAAAAAAGAAGAAAATACTTCTTACTTCCTGGGCACTGGATAATGTGAACTTCAGGAAAAAATAACTTCAAATCATTAAGAGTGTACTGCTATGTGGACAGGGGAATTTATGAGAAGAATACCCACACAATCATCAAAAATGTATCCCATGAACATTGATATTGTTACAGCAGCTGCAAGTAATTTTTCAGTGAATTATGGATCACTTCCTTGATTGTTATCAGGAATGTTTATCACATAAAATTTTCCATAAAAATAATATTATAAATAAAACTTAAAGAAATTATATATATTTTATATTCAAAATCACTCCTTTACATTTTTCCTTTATCCTAATTTCTTAACTTTAACAATCCTTATCATTACAATACCTCTAACATCAGAAGTCCAACAACATTAGAAGAATCTTTGTTGCTCATCTCATTCTGCTCCAACAGATTGATACAGTGAGTGTACACAGACACATATTTCTTCACATCCCGTGGCTCTGTGCCGGACATACCTGGGGTGGAGTTTGAAATCTTCAGGTTCATTCAGTTACTTAAAAAACATTTCAGTATACTCAAAACACATTTTCTGAATGATACATATTCATTATTTTGTTTCATAATTTAAACCGGTCAATATTTTGCACCAAACGTCAACTATAAGTTTAGAGTAAAAAAATTTGAAGTTTGTAGCCATGAATAAATGTGCATGGTGATCATAACATGTTCAGTTCCAGCAGTTATCCACACACTAATTTCATCAGTGAGCATGTTTTCTTCTGACATCAAAGATATGCCATGTGTTTATTGACTTTATGTTTATCTTTTTACCTTGTAAAATGGCTTGTAGTAAAGGCAAAACTTCTCCTTTTCCTCGAACAGCTCTGTTTTCAATCATGTGAGTTAGCTGTAAAAGTGATTGTCATTTTTCATAGGTAGTGTTGATCTAAATATATCAAAGTTATCACATTTGCTCTATCTATTTATCATGGAGTGTTATAATGTATCAAACTTCCATAACAAAAGAAGAGCAAAGAAAAAACTTCAGCACTTTTTCAATTTACCAAACGTATCATATCTACACAAAACATCAAATTATCCAATAGAACTGAGCCCACTTTACTAAACACTTCAAACCAAATCTGATCAAAATTCCCTTCAGTACTTCCTTTTTTCACTCCCTTATTGGTTCTATTCCCTCACTTCCAAAGGAAAGGTAGTTACACCGTGCAGATAATCACCAGAGAAGCCAGTGGATCAGAGAGGACAAGCTGGCCTCTCACAATTAACAAGTAATGTATGGACAATTAAAACCTGTGTAAGTAAACACAAACGTACCTCCTGGTTTGGAATTTCTTGTACAGTTTTTGCTAACTCATTACTTTGACCATCTTCACACAGCTTAATTATTTTTTTGTCCATCATTATGCTGCAATTAAATGATAAACATTTTCTTTTGGGTGACAAAATTTGCATTTGTGAATGTCTAAATGGATTATTTCAAGAAATTATGGATGTCTAGAACATGGGATGAACTTAAATTGTCCATGCCTCACGCTTTTGCAGTGTTTTATCAATGTTTTCAGTGTCTATACTATGCGATTTAATTTTAAGACGTATCAACTTTCAGCAAAGGTGCATATATATTTGACTTATTATAGAAATGTCAGTGGGGAATTCAGGTGCGTTGAAAATTAGTCAGTGCAGGAATTGCCTTTCATCAACATTATTACGTTCATAACATGATTAATCAAGAACTTATTATGATGCCTTTCCCACCTGTCAAAAATGGCGCGCTATTTTCACCAGCTGATTCATTTCCGGGCTGTGATCTCGAAATGACCAATCGCGGAACACGATACAAACAATAACAATAGCTGATATACGTATTAAAAGAAAAGGCGACCGGTCTGTTATGGTTCCGCCACAGCCAATAGGACTGGGCACTGGCCGGGCCTTATCTGTCGATACGCTCATCATTATAATATATCGAGTATATTGGCAGACGAGGTCAGTACATGTGATAGAATCAGTATAGAAATAAATTAATGAATAGTATATGGCAGTCATAGGTGATAGCACAAATATCCATTATCTTATTCGCAAGAAAATCATGGTTTTTTTTCTTGATTGCAGAATCTGTTATTTTGGTTTTGTTGGGTTTAACAGGGACAATTTATGGTCGTATTATACATAAATTTACGTTTCTGCATTGCTTACTTCTAAAATAGATAGATACATTTGTCTGTAAAGTTTCTGGAACGGATTTTGATAAATGCACTATCTCCATATGCAATCCACTCGAGCGACACTTTGGCTTTAAACGCGACGTACAATATTTCATAACCCCAAACCACATCGCTTCATTGAATTAGTAATACTTGTAAGATGTTGATAGTTAATTCCTCTCAGTCGCCCCCTGTATGCCATTTTGAGGTTTGACAAAAGATGGACTAATGACGGTGTTTCTGTATGTGAGGTGTTGTAGTTCTCATATCGTCCCGAGTTTTCATTGTTCTTACTGAGTATACCATTTGTATTTGATTTGGGGTATGACGGTTACAAATCCGCCTGCTACTTTTGTACATTGATACAAGCCACAATGGTCTTCTCTTTTGCAAACTAGTTTTTTTTTATTGATAGACCCATTTTGTGTTAAATCATATGATAAGAGATTACTTGAATACATGACAACGCGGCTTCACTGGATGTTGTTCAATTTCTGTTCCACATCTCATTCGTCCCAGCTTTTAGACTTCAGTAATATTTACCTATTGGTCTTAACGTCCGCTATACTGTGCGGCCTTTTAGCAGGCGAACAATGTCAGGCTGTCTAATTACCTTTAGATATATGGTTCCAAATGATACTGCCATACTCCATATTGCAATATTGATATATCTAGAGATGTTCTGCTGTTTTCTTGCATATTTTCATGTGATTTTTATTTCTCCTCAATAATCATAAAGTTGTACTACATTGTTTGTGTACATCATTGTACATTAGACTGAACTGTCTAAATTCCTGTACAATAGTTTTTAAGGTTTCGAAATTTCAATCTCATCGAACTCATTCAAGGGAGATAAGTTGTACCACGACTTATATTTATTTTTAGATATTCTAATAGATAGTCCGTGGTTGTACCAAGTAAAGGCAGGCAGTCCAATTTATGCTGATATGTGTACTCTGTTTAAGGTCATTTGATATTTGGAGTCTGATTTCCAGAGGTATTTTCTTTTCAATGCATCATTATCTAACAAAAACATCGCGGATAGATAGTCAGAACCATCCGGACTATGCAGTGGTATAAACTAGACAGCAGGGACCGTGAATGATAATCATCGTGAAATTTAAGGCTGTGTTGGTAAAACGAGAGAATAAAATTCACTACCAGAGTGGATTAAATCCATTCGGTTATCGTTCGTAAAACAATAAGCAGACTGAAACCAAAAATGAAAAAAACAACAAAAGTCAAGTCTGTATTCCTTCATCCTGATGTACATGCACTTCGCTCGTAACGCGATGTTATTGTGCCTGCGGACAAGGCATCTAATAATTTCCTTCATACAGAAAGGACAGGGCTGGCTCGATAACGGAAGAAATCCTTCCTACAATTTATCCAATATTTAAAAAGGAAAAATACTGGTAAATCACGCTTCAGCATTGTTTAATATTACAGTTTAGATTATCTGTTAATGGTAAGTATACAGACCTCCCTTGTTTACATTGGATTTCTAAAACTTCACAAACATCTACATAAACCGTGTTTTATTGCTCGTTCGTGTAGTTGTTCTACCAAGTCAGTATCAATATTTCTTTCTATCATTCTCAGTACGATGAAATCAGGGTTCAGTCTTATTGTGATACTGTTTTCTCGACAAGCAGAATTATTAGTATGTAAATTTCAATGAAGTCCAATGGGCTATTGGCCAATCTTAAACTACCATACCCCATTCTAAACCGAAGTAATTCCTCCGCTCCTTTGTTATGAAACTTTATCGCAGAGCATATCGAAACTGGTCAAAAAGTTTTTAAATTTCACTTTGAGTAGTATTGATTCCGGTATTAACAACCATATCATAGACTGGAATAAGCCAACTGTACTGAAGAAAGAAGATGGAACATATCAACCTTCCCTCTGAAGTCTCAGTGTTTTGCGTCCGGACAATTTGCGACGTGTCATCATGACTCAATCATTTGCACTCTTTGCTTGACAAAGAATAAAAACTTTTTCGAAAGCTCGAGAAAAAAAAATAAATAAATGATATATCCCATAAGGGCCAAGTTCCGGTGACCTTGGCACCTCCTTTATCTTTTCATATTCTTTTCGGCGAGGAATGGATCTGTAAAGTATCTGTAATTCAACCAGATAGCGCCTGGTATTGGGGTGGGGGGGTTTCCACAGGCATAACTAAACCAAATATAAACGCGAATAACTACAATAAATTCGATGATATGATGAATATCGATCAGTTAGCAACCTTGAGCGTCTTCCCCTCCGCCCAGTCATCACGCAAGAAATCGCGCTTGAGCTCGGGCTACAATTTTCCCACATATATCATTGAGCAATACAAAAATGTAACCAATCAAAATACTTCTCTTATGTCCTTTCGGAAATTTATTTGTTTACTTCCGGTTTACCGGTGGACACAGAATATCGCTGATATACACATCAAACTATGACTGCATAGTTTTTAATCGTATATATTTTTGTATCTTTATTTTTAAAAAATTAATGTTATACATATATATTTTCATATACAACATATGACATTGCTCGGTAATTCGATAACATGACGTCTAAAAAACGAAAACTGCCAGAATCTTTTCATGTGACGGAGCCTAATAAATTTTTACTTGGATGTAAAATCTATATTTTAAAGGCAAGCATTGAAAAAATGAGGCTACAAATATTTACTTCACAGCTTCAAAAATATGGTGGCATTCAGCATGAACAATTAGAATCTGATACAACTCATTTGGTTGTTGATGACAAAATGGAAGCTGAGAGAATGTGTAGAATACTCAAAGTAGACAAACCACCAGAAAATATCGAAATATTGAAAACAAGTTGGTTAAGTTCGTGCTTTAAGTCAAAGGACATGGTCCCAACCAAGGGGTTTGAGTTGGACTTGTCAGTTTTTGCAAAGAAAGATTTAATGGAGGATGAAGACACTAAAATGATCAAAGATGGCGATTCTAGTGGAAGCAAATCTAATACTGAGGGTGAAATAAAACCAGCGAAGGTTGGTGTTATGTTCCGTGCCTACAAGAAGACAAAAATGGATCCTGAAGGTTACAATGATGACCCTGACAGTGATTACATGGCAAGTGATCACGAAGAGGAAGGCAATGTTTCTGCAATGGGGAGTGATACAACTCCACAGACTTCACCATGTAAAACTATACAGGTAAGCAATGGCACAGTGTTGTTTCACATTGACTCTGGTAGTCAGGAAATGAGAATAAAGATAGATCAAGAGGTGTAAACAGAGACCACATTTTTATGTTTGTTTTAAAGTCTGTCATCATAAATTTGAATGGCACAATTAGGGAAAGATTTAGCAGACTGTTTTTCCTTCATTGTCAAGCCATTTTGAGTAATTGAAATGAAATGTTAGACACAGATATTTTGAAACGCTTTCTTCTACTGCTTGTGTTATAAGAGCTTTTTATTCTATTAGGCATAGAGCTATGATTAAATTTCATCTAAAATGGCTCTGATTACTGTTTGTTTTTATCAGTCCAATCTGATATTTGGTAGACATTTACAATGAGAAATCTTGATATGGTTATTCATACACTGCACATGAAATGATATTTCATAACTTGACGAATTTTTGAAATTTTGTTTACTCGTTTACTTTTCTTACAGACTTCAAGTTGGGTTTGTGCACAGTCTTCCAAAAATACACTTCCGAACTCCAACAAGCATATTACAGACAAATTGGAGGTACAACAAACCTGTAGTTAAAAAGTTTAATCACCACATTGCAACTAGTCATAAAGAGCACTATATACATATAATGAATTTGATTGCAAGGATGTACACAAGTATTACTATATTCCACATTTTATGTAAAAAAATGCTCTGCCTTATGATCATTTCAGTAACTGTTTCCTAAATGATATAGTTAAGTTAATACTAGATGTGATAGATGTAACATAGACAACCCTAGAATATGTTGCTCAAAGAAACAAAATGTAGGTTACCGGTTAATGTTGAATGAGAAAAAGTAGTATAAAACTTTTTTCAGAGTATATTTAAGAGGGTGATGATGACTTTAAAAGTGCTTCCTCAAAAATTGCAATAGAAGTTTTAGAGGAAACATGAAAATATAGCATTTGAAGGATGAGTAGAAAGAAATAGCGAACCTCTAATTCTGTTTTGGGAATACAATTTGTAGAGAATTTCTGTTGGAAAATTATTGAATAATAAGATGTTTTTGTCAGATGAATGTTAATATGTACACTTGGGACTAATTTTGATTGGAAAAGGGTTTTTGACATTTCACTTAAACCAAACTTTTTTACAACTCATGTTTATTCAGTTGCATTGTGGACTTATGAAAAACATTTTTTCTCTATTTATAGCTGAAGTTTTCACATTTCAAAATTTGTTATTAAAAAAAAATTGTCGTTGGAGAAAAATATAAATCTCATTGAGAATCTGTTTGATTTAATTTCAGGAAATGGTGAAGACGTACGAAAGCACTAGTGACAAATGGAGAGCTTATGGCTATCAGAAAGCAATCCAAGCACTACGGAGACTACCAAGGCCTATTTCTTCTTGGCAGGTCAATACAGAGATACAGTATTTATAGATACAACTCGATGAAATCAAGTAGTTTAAAACTGTTTTATCAATTAAGTCTGAAATTTCATAATTTTAATATTTGATATATAATGTATTTTCAAATTTACTCAGATTTTTTTATCACTGTTGTTTCAAACATTGAACTTCATTAGTAAGACATATTTTCTTTCTAAATATTGTTACAATTAGTACCCAGGTTTCAAAAACTTCTCTGACAAGTTGATTACAACCTTGATTCCATTGTGTAAAATGTAAATGTTAATTAGAGGCACTGGGAGGTTTTGGATGAAATTCCATGTATGACATCATTTAATTGGTTAATCTGTATGGTTTTCCACCAGCTCTTCCTTTTTGACAATCTAAAGCTGTTAAAGTTTTCAGAATTTGAGTTTAGTTATCTCCCCTAGACTTTACTGAACAAGTTGAAAATTCAACATCAGAATTTTGGCTATCACAAATTTATTCAACATTTTTCTACCCAAACTGTTTATAATTATCTACTTCACCTGTAATTTTCTTTAACTGTTAGAATAAAAATGCTTTAAATGCATATTGTAAAAGATCTTACTAAAGATTGTAAAATATGTACTTATAAATAGAGTTTGGTATCCATCACACAATCTGTTAAGAAATTTGTGTTGTATTCTAGTGACTATATCTTTGCATTGTAATTACCAAACTTTCACTAATAAATTTCTCTACTTAACTATGGTATAATATGAAACTGAAAATATAAAGATATCAGGAAGGGTCATTCTGCTAACTTAACATACTATAACCACTTGTTTAGCCCCTTTCACTGAAAGGAATACTTATTTTTAGGAAGCTAAAGATCTTCCTGGTGTTGGAACTCGTCTGGCTGACAAGATTTGGGAAATTGCTGAAAGTGGGGAACTACGAAAACTAAATGAATTTAGATCAAGTGATGAAGTCAAAGTGATGGAAATGTTTGGAAATGTTTGGGGTGCAGGTGCCCACACGAGTCGAACTTGGTATCAACAGGTAAGATTTTTCATATCAGTCAAACCTTGTATCATTAGATAAGGTTTGTCATTGTCAGCTGTGATATGTTATTTGTATGATGTGTTATTTGTGTGATGTGTTATTTGTGTGATGTGTTATTTGCGTGATGTGTTATTTGTGTTGTGTGATGTGTTATTTGTGTGATGTATTATTTGTGTGATGTGTTATTTGTGTGTGTGATGTGTTATTTGTGTGATGTGTTATTTGTGTAATATGTTATTTGTATGATGTGTTATTAGTGTGATGTGATATTAGTGTGATGTGTTATTTGTGTGATGTGTTATTAGTGTGATGTGATATTAGTGTGATGCGTTATTTTTGTGATGTGATATTTGTGTGATGTGTTATTTGTGTGATTTGTTATTTTTGTGATGTGTTATTTGTGTGATGTGTTATTTTTGTGATGTGTTATTAGTGTGATGTGTTATTTTTGTGATGTGTTATTTGTGTGATGTGTTATTAGTGTGATGTGTTATTTGTGATGTCTTATTTTTGTGATGTGTTATTTGTGTGATGTGTTATTAGTGTGATGTGTTATTTTAATGATGTGTTATTTTTGTGATGTGTTATTTTTGTGGTGATATTTGTGTGATGTGTTATTTGTGTGATGTGTTACTTGTGTGTGTGATGTGTTATTTGTGTGATGTGTTATTTGTGTGATGTGTTATTAGTGTGATGTGATATTAGTGTGATGTGTTATTTCTGTGATGTGTTATTTGCATGATGTGTTATTTGTGTGATGTGTTATTAGTGTGATGTGATATTTGTGTGATGTGTTATTTGTGTGTGTGATGTGATATTAGTGTGATGTGTTATTAGTGTGATGTGTTATTTGTGTGATGTGTTGTTAGTGAGATGTGTTATTTTTGTGATGTGTTATTTGTGTGATGTGTTATTTGTGTGATGTGTTATTTTTGTGATGTGTTGTTAGTGTGATGTGTTATTTGTGTGATGTGTTATTTGTGTGATGTGTTGTTAGTGTGATGTGTTATTTGTGTGATGTGTTATTTTTGTGATGTGTTATTTGTGTGATGTGTTGTTAGTGAGATGTGTTATTTTTGTGATGTGTTATTTGTGTGATGTGTTATTTGTGTGATGTGTTATTTTTGTGATGTGTTATTTGTGTGATGTGTTATTTGTGTGATTTGTTATTTTTGTGATGTGTTATTTGTGTGATGTGTTATTTTTGTGATGTGTTATTAGTGTGATGTGTTATTTTTGTGATGTGTTATTTGTGTGATGTGTTATTAGTGTGATATGTTATTTGTGTGATGTGTTATTTGTGTGATGTGTTATTTTTGTGATGTGTTATTTGTGTGATGTGTTATTTGTGTGATGTGTTATTAGTGTGATATGTTATTTGTGTGATGTGTTATTTGTGTGATGTGATGTGTTATTTGTGTGATGTGATATTAGTGTGATGTGTTATTTGTGTGATGTGTTATTATTGTGATGTGTTATTTGTGTGATGTGTTATTTGTGTGATGTGATATTAGTGTGATGTGTTATTTGTGTGATGTGTTATTTTTGTGATGTGTTATTTGTGTGATGTGTTATTTGTGTGATGTATTATTTGTGTGATGTGTTATTTTTGTGATGTATTATTTGTGTGATGTGTTATTTGTGTGATGTATTATTTTTGTGATGTGTTATTTGTGTGATGTGTTATTTGTGTGATGTGTTATTTTTGTGATGTATTATTTTTGTGATGTGTTATTTATGTGATGTGTTATTTTTGTGATGTGTTATTTGTGTGATGTGTTATTTGTGTGATTTGTTATTTTTGTGATGTGTTATTTGTGTGATGTGTTATTTGTGTGATGTGTTATTTTTGTGATGTGTTATTTTTGTGATGTGTTATTTGTGTGATGTGATGATGTATTATTTTTGTGATGTGTTATTTTTGTGATGTGTTATTTGTGTGATGTGTTATTTTTGTGATGTGTTATTTGTGTGATGTGTTATTTTTGTGATGTGTTATTTGTGTGATGTGTTATTTTTGTGATGTATTATTTTTGTGATGTGTTATTTTTGTGATGTGTTATTTGTGTGATGTGTTATTTTTGTGATGTGTTATTTGTGTGATGTGTTATTTGTGTGATGTGTTATTTGTTATTTTTGTGATGTGTTATTTTTGTGATGTGTTATTTGTGTGATGTGTTATTTGTGTGATGTGTTATTTGTGTGATTTGTTATTTTTGTGATGTGTTATTTGTGTGATGTGTTATTTGTGTGATGTGTTATTAGTGTGATGTGTTATTTGTGTGATGTGTTATTTTTGTGATGTGTTATTTTTGTGATGTGTTATTTTTGTGATGTGTTATTTGTGTGATGTGTTATTTTTGTGATGTGTTATTTTTGTGATGTGTTATTTGTGTGATGTGTTATTTTTGTGATGTGTTATTTGTGTGATGTGTTATTTTTGTGATGTACATGTGAAATGAATTGTTTCTCTTTCTTTTATTAGTTCTTTTATCCAATTCAGGTTTATGGTACTGATTTTGGGCCTTTAGTAGGCTGGGATAAAAGGCTACCAATTTTGTTAAAATGAATTACCTTAACCCACTTTCAAAAACACAGGGGTAAAATGTGTTGAAATATTTGGACAACTTTTTCTCAATTACCAAAAGGTCCATGGTGCTGATATTGGTGTAGTACATGTATAAAGAATATGATTTCAGGTTTGCAGAAAATGTTTTGATTAACCAACAATGTCTTCCATGTAAGCTGTAGTGTAGTTGAGCAATTTATTTCAGGTCTAGGGGCCACTTTTGTTGATATAAGATCAGTATCTTGACATTGTAGGGTTTCCGAACGCTTGATGACCTCCGAACTAAAGCAAACCTAACACATCAACAGAAGATTGGTTTGAAGCACTATGACGACATCCTTGAGAGGATGCCACGAGTAGAAGCTGGGGAGATTGAAGCTGTTGTAAGTTTTCAATATATTATCAATGTAGTTGTTTTGATTCCATTAAGGTCACAGTGTTTTTTATTTTATTCATTGGTAGTCCATTATCACAGGATGATGATGGTTTATACTGTTGTAGTTGTATTTGTGCGTTTATTGTACCATCTTGCCCTGTGTCCTGCCCTTTGTCATGCCCTGTTCTGTTCTTTTTATGCTTCTCAAAAGTTATGAGGGAGCATATAGTCACTGTCATGTCCATCTGTTTGCTTGCATTTTAGCTAGGATAATGGAACTTATCACATTGTATATACATTGATCATACGAATACAATGATCAGTGTACCAATGTAAGGGCCTGCAACCCCTTAATTACAGAGATATTACTCTTTGTTAAAATTTTTGTTCGGGCATTACTTTGCCTGCATTTAGATAAACTAGGATACTGAAACTTGATATATACATCTGTCATATAAAAGCAAGGTGCATTGTAACAATGTCAAGACTTATGATCCCTCAGTACAGAGTTATTGCCCTTTGTTAAAAATTTTGTGTCATGAGCACAGCTTTGCTTGCATTTAAACTAGAATCATAAAACGTGGCATATACATTGGTCATACTAAAACATGTAATGTCTACCAAATCAGGGCCTACAACTCCTTAATTACAGAAATATTGCTCTTAGGTAAAATTTTGTGTCCAATAAAGTCGTTTTTGGGGCACATTCATCAGTTTTACTGATTCTCTTGTCTTTCCTTTCTTGTCCTTTCCTTTCCTGTCCTGTCCTGTCCATTCTATTCCTTTGCTGTCCTGTTTTGCTCTGCCTTGTGTCCTTTCCTGTCCTGTCCATTCTATTCCTTTGCTGTCCTGTTTTGCCCTGCTTTGTGTCCTGTCCTGTCCTGTCCTGTCCTGTCCATTCTATTCCTTTGCTGTCCTGTTTTGCCATGCCATGTGTTCTGTCCTGTCCTGTCCATTCTATTCCTTTGCCGTCCTGTCTTGCCCTGCCTTGTGTTCTGTCCTGTCCTGTCCATTCTATTTCTTTGCTATCCTGTTTTGCCCTTCCTTGTGTCCTGTCCTGTCCATTCCTTTGTTGTCCTGTCCTTTCCTCTCCTGTCCTTTTCTGATCTCTTGTATTGTGTCATACTTTGTCCTACCCTATGTCCTGTACCATCAAATCCTTTTCCTGTACTGTCCTTTCCATTCCTGTCCTGCCCTGCCCGGTGTCCTGGCATGTCATTTCCTGACCTTTCCTGTCCTGCCTTGTCCTTTCCTTTCCTGTCCAGCCCTGCCCGGTGTCCTGGCATGTCATTTCCTGACTATTCCTGTCCTGACATGTCCTTTCCTTTGCTGTTCTGTCTAGTCTTGTTGTGTCCTGTCCTGACCTGTCCTTTCCTATGTCCTGAGTCCTTTCCTGTCTTGTGCTGTCCTTTCCTGTCCTGTGCTGTCCTATCCTTTCTTGTCTAGATTTGTGTGTTATAAGTACTATATAGAGTATGCATATGTGCATGAATGTTGTCTTTGTGTTGTACTATGTGGTTTTTGTATGTAAAAACTGAATAAAACATCCAAAAAGGAAGAAAAAAATTATGTCATGGGATCAATGGTCAGAATAATTTTTGAAAAAATCTTTTTAGAATATTGAATTGGTCAATCAAATCTCAGTAAATACTACTTACTGTCTCAGCAAATAATGACTTTATGTAAACCTTCATTAATATACTGTAAAAAGTTGTTTTTTTCAATGACTTATCAGGTACGAACAGCTGCAGAATCTCTGCTGCCAGGAGTGATAGCACAGGCATGTGGGTCATACAGACGAAAGAAGACCACATGTGGGGACGTGGATGTGCTTGTCACACATCCTGATGGCAAATCTCATCGTGGAATTTTCGGTAAACTGCTCACTAAACTCCGAGATCAAGGTACGTAGTTGTTTTATTTATAATGTAAGGATCACATGTTTCGTGTACACCATACGTTTATCACATAACTACCCTGCTATCAGTGTTATAACAACCACTTTGCTTTGATGTAATGAGGCTGTGATTGCCTGATGGTTCATAATGTTTCCATGGTTAAATCATAGCTTCATGGCATTATATACTAAACAAAAAGAAAGGTAACATTACTTTATTCTGTGATTAATTAATTAACCCCTTCATAAATCCTTACTAATCATGTACGAATAGAGTAACACCATTAGTAACGGGTATGGCCACCGTTTGCAAAGTAAACAGCATTGCAGCGTCGTCGCATGGAACTTGTAAACTGGCAGATAATTCGAGGAGAGATGTTGTTCCATTCAGCGATCAAGGCTTGGGCCAGCTCCTGCAATTTTGACGGCTGATTCTCTCACACGACGCCCAAGAACGTCCCAGACATGCTCAATTGGTGACAAATCAGGTGATTTAGATGGCCAATCTAACACCTGTACGTTATTCTGCTGCAAGAAAGTTCTGCTGACGTGACTGGTGTGCACTGGTGCATTATCTTGTTGAAAAATGGTGCCAACACTCATGGCGTCTTAAGAATGGCAGAACCACTGGTCTTAAAATTTCATCCCGATATTGAATGCCGGTTAAATTGCCATTGAACACAACAAGCCTGGTACTAGTCCCCCTACAAATACCACCCCAAACCATTACACTTCCGCCGCCAAAGTGATCAAAATGCTCCCCTCGTTGCCTCCACACTCAGCGCCTTCCGTCACCGTGTTGGACTCATCTGAAAACAGAACATTGTTCCATTGTCGTAAGGCCCAACGACGGTGAACACAGGTCCAGTTATGCCAATTATTACAGTGACGTCGCAACAAATTGGGTCCAGTGTAGGGACGCTGCGCTTTCAATTGGTAGGCCCTCAACCTGTTGCGGACTGTTTGGGGAGAGACACGATGCCCAAACAATGTCCTTGTAGTCTCTACTGCGATTATGAATCGATTGTGCAAGTGTATCAATCGTATACGACAGTTATCCCTGGCAGTCGTTTTACGGGGTCGGCCGCTTCGGGGACGATCGGATGTTGACCCAGTTTGGTTTAAACGACTTACCAACTGGCAAATTGTCTTAACACTGCAACCAAAATGCCGTGCAACTCGACGGCGAGACTCCCCAGTCATGCCTACAGCTCTTTCTCTCTGTACTTGTGACAGCCGGGGCATAATGATAAAGTTGATAGGTAGCAAGATTCAGTGATTTCTAAGTCCTAAGGATCTAAGGAACAGTTGTCAGTTTGAATGTTTATGAAATTCAAGCGAAGATACAAGTTAGTAGCAGAAAACCTCATGCAGCTCTTTCGCTAATAAAGACTTCCACGCTTGAATGATTTTGGTAACCCCCTTGGATTTTGTAATGTAAAACATTACCATTTTCTAATATTGCACAAACGTCATTTTGTTTTCACTCATTTACAGGTATCTGCCAAGGAAACATGTTAACCTTTCTGTTTTTGTTGAGTATATGCTTTGTGATGTCACCCAAGAAAGAGATATGACAGGATAATATTTTTAATACCAATTTGGTGTCTGTCTAATGAATTCACAAGTGTCTTTAAAGTATCCAGGTAATTTGATAAACAGAATCTTACATTCATATTCATGAAACTCATTATGAATGTTTTTTCATTATTTCATGTCATAGAAAATTGTCAGACTTGTTTCATAAGTCTGATATGGAAGGAGACTTTTACAAGATCCATTATCCCTTATTTAGCGGGTGAACACTGGTTTGTTCAGAAACTGCTTTTAATGCCCACAGATCAAAAGATCAGGGGAATATTATTTCAGTGCTGTCAGTTTGTCTGTTGTCAACATTAACCTTGCCCATTACTATTGCACCGTAAGAGTTAGGGCTCTCATATTTGACATTTGTGCTCTTTGTGCCATGATCTTTCTGGTGGTACCAAGCTTTTTCACCATGTGACCTAGACAGAAAAATCATTACCACTTTGAAGACATATTAAGTGTTTCACAAAATGTGCATGCAATATGCACATGCCTTGCACTCTGCAGTTTTAAAGACCCACTTCAGAATCTTGTTTGTATGTACATTAATCAGAATTTTTTCCAAATGACATTTTGAAATGTGACATCAGTTATTATCTAAAATGGATTGAGTCCTTAATTTGTTTTTATTTTCTGTTGATAAATTAAATGTAAGATAACCAACCAGCTGTAAAGCCTTGTTAGTAGGATGAATAATTCTTACATGATTTATTTGTAATGCAAATTTGGATTGGATATAGATGGCAGACATATCTGTAATGAAATCATGGTTAGTATATTAACCACTGCCCATTGTTGTTAAATAGCCTCTTCTGTAACATTCTGGCAGTGCTTCCAGTCAACTGTAGAGTGAAATATCATTGAAACATGACACCAACATTGTTACTGATGTAATTTAGATAAATATGTGTTTCAGATCTTGACTTTTTCAGCAGAAACTCTGAAGTTTATATACTTGATATAAAAAATTGTTATGAGACTATTCCCGTCTCATCAACTTCTGTTTGTCATTGCTTACCTTCTGATTCTCTCTTTGGTTTGTGCCATGTCATATTTTATCCGTTTTATTTAACCAACCTTCAATGCAAGTGTCAGTGTTTTTATGTCATAATGTTAATGTGTTTATGCAGATTAAACAAAAGCTTGGGTTATACACTTACAAAAATATATTACAATGTTGACACAAGTACAATGTACAACACTATACAACTTTCAATAAGTTCTACATAGCATGGCTTTCCTGTATTTGTTTTAGCTTGACTTCCATAGGGTTCCCATCCAATAAACATCAGTGAATTAGTAAATATCTGCTGAATAAGTCTAAAACAAAGAACAAATTGTTACACAGTAGTAATGTGTTTGTCAAAACTTTCTCCTCTGGCAGTCCCCTTGTTGTTAAGATGTTTTGAAAATTTAAACCCAAGGTGACATGTTTTCATCCTACACAATAAGGTTAGTGTCAAACCCTGGACCGATGGGAGGGGCTAAATATTTTGTTTTGATACACAAAGTGTTGATTTATTGATGTGTCACACTTGACCATGAACCACATGAAATGTCACCTAAGGATGATTTTTATAACATGTATAGATTGCTGTATCACCTGCTAGTGACAGATTTGTGAGTGTGTAGGTTGAACAAATTCTGCCTGAAGCCCAGCAAATCTGTTCATTTCCTTGACAAACATCTTTTTTTATCATCCTGATTGATTTCTGTATTGACCACATGCACCTCATGCAGCTTCAACTGAAAGTTGATATTTTTTAGGCTCTTTTAAAGTTATATTTCATATCTAGACCGTGAACAAATTAAACATATTTCTGAACTGGTGGTCACATATCTGTATTGATCTCATGTCTGCTTCTGTGTCTAATACTGGGATGAATGATATTCATGTTATGTTTACTGAAGTAATGTTGCTAAAGTAAACAGTGTGATATATGAATGTCCTATATTATTAGTCCATCAAAACTGATATAGAAATCAAATAACATTTACTATGATCCAAATGTTCCCGAAAGCATATAACTCATTACATTGTTTTCTTTGTAGTCACTATTATATACAATTTTTATATGGTTAGATAGCATAGAGGTTAACTGTCTGATCACATCCCTCTCTCCTCCTGCTAAGCTCTTGATGGATATTCAATTGACTATACCATTGCATCTGTCCAGGCATAAGATACTAGATTACTATAGTAAACGAGAATTTAAGGTAGTATTGGAAAGTGCTATTAAAACTTGCAAAGACAACTTCAAATTATTTGAATCTGGAGAGCCAGAAAACTGCTTTCAAATAGCTGCCCCTTGCGCTCCACTCTACATGGTTGATAGTTTAATCATTGTTGGTAACAGATTTTTAATAGTGTATGACTGTAGGCTGTCTTGCTTTCCCACACAATAAATATATCTTACTTAAGTGTCAGTGCTATAATTCAACATGGCAAAGTCTTAAGTAAAACATGTCATATTGAGTAATTGTTTACTTCTCTATAACATATTCAATTTACATTTGAATAGCGTGTTTTCAAATCTTAACTGATATTGAATAGTGACCTATCGTCAAGACACCGTGCAACACGTTTCCGAAAGCTGACAAAATTACAGTTTTCAGTCACTGTTTGTGCTTAAGATTAACATCTTCTCAAGTATATCTATACCAAACTGATGAATGTTATATCAGACTTTGCATAACCAAACTAGATATATGTGGGTCATTATCATCAATACTAACTGACAGATGCTATGTTTATAACATAACGCCCACAGATTGAAGTATCGCGAATGTTTCCACACATTTTCCGTATTACTGCAGTAAATTGCAAGGTAAGAAGATGATTTAACCACAGAGTATTTTGTTTATCTTAGTATTATTAATACGACCATCTACTTGTTTAACAGTATAGGCCCCACAAATGACAAATACAGCTATGGTCACCAAGAGAGTGTCTGGTCTGCTGTCACTGGTCACCAATGGTTTGGTTTCATAATGTATTGATAATCTTGTATTGATATTCTAAATTGCAAAAATAAAGAAATTCAAAATACGAGACTGGAATGGACCAAAATTTGGGGCCAGACTTGACCAGACCAAAAAGACCTGACTTGACCAGACCAATAAGACCTGACAAGACCAGACTCTGTTGTAAAGGATAGCTTGCATGCTTCCATCAGATATCCAAGGATAAGTTCGGTGTTATTAATTTTATGGCTTGGTGAGGAATTGTTAAAATTAGAACCAATTTCACATCCAGCGAATATAATTTTCTTTCTTTTTTTCAATGTCATCAGTTTAGACATTTTTTTTTTATTTCCAGTATTCACACATTTATTTCTGTTTGAGTAAAATGGAACTTTTCGCCTCCGCCTTAACACTGCGAAGTTTTCTCTAGAAGGATTGACATGCAGGTTTTATCAA